CCGATTATCTGAACCGCTGCTATTGTCATTATGACAGTAGCACCGGTTACATTCACGTGCAAACATCAAGTAAAGCATTATAGGCCTGAGCATGTTATGCGACGCGATGCTGTTCGCTATTTTTTCCTCGGACAGAAACGGGTTACGGCAGTTGCTGTGAGTATATCTATAAAATTGCATGTTGCTTTAATAAGGACCGGTACGCTGCTATAATAACACCTAGGCAGCAGCGAAGGCAGGAAAAGGGATGACGTCACAGATTTTTGTACAAGCGTGTTAATTCTGGACAAGGAAAAACCTCAACCACTGCATTTTCCACATTCATGATACAACAGTGGAGTTGAAACAACTCACGTCTTACAGAATTCGTCGGGTAAAATCAAAGGTGCACTTTAGCATACGGACTCGAACCCCATAGATAATTGTGGGCCTGTTACCCGTGACTGTGATACCTCGTGATATGTGATACTGTGTGATACCTCGTCCTAATGCTTCCCAGAGCCAAAATGGAAACCCAGGCGGTTTTGAGATCCTGAAAGGTTATAGGTTCTGTATTTAATTTCAAGTGAAGTCTCTTGCGGGAAAATGGTTCCCTTTAAACACCCTTGAATACCACAACAGTACCAGCGCTTTGCATGGGACACAAAAACGGAATTGGCACGGTGCGGTTTTCGCCTGCATGACATCAACGATTCCCTATGAGCATCGACAGATCCACTTACCAGCTGCCATTCGGCCACTTTTCATTCTTTTAGCGGAAACAAAACCCTTCTGACCTCTGACCCTCCCGCATGCTCAGCCAGAAGTCCACGGTCGGAAGCAGGGCGGCACGTGACGCCTGCGGATCTAAGTGGCGTCGGCTCACCTTGGTCACGTGCCACAGTTTCCTGGTAAGAGGCACCAGCTTCTGCACCAGGCTGCGCACGTCCTCAGTGAAGCCCCGCTTGGTGCAATAGTGACCCACGGCGATCGTGCCGAAGATCAGGTCGATGGACGTGTTAGAGGGCAGCGTGCAGTTGAAGATGGCGAAGTGCCGCTTCAGGCGCGCCGGGATGTCGTTCCGGCCGCCGCCTGGGGACGGTATCGGAGGAGAGTTCGGCCTACTGTCAGGGAATTTCGATTCCCGTTCACAACATTCATAACGCAATGAAAACGAAACACCAGTGGCCTGGCTGCCCATGGCTGACCATGACACTGAAGGCCGCTAACTGGTGCTTATCGCCCCTGCTGATCTGGCTGATCGTGACTGAACCCGACCACGAAGACCCCTGACTGGCACGTATGACCCCTGCTGACCTGGCTGACCCATGGCGGCCAGAAACTGGACGTCCACGATGTGGGTGAACTCGCCGGGCTTGTCCAGGCTGTAGAAGCCGCTCATTTCGATCGTCTGCCGTACGATCTCGTTCGTGACCTGCGACAGGGGCGCAGGCGGACTCAATGCCGGGAGGTCACGCGGTGACGGTCCGCCGGTCGTCCGGCCGGAGACAGCGACGCGCACAGGCGTGAGGCGAGGAACAACAACACGGCACGCTTCGACACCGGTTACCGGAGGTGGGGGTGCGCCGAATGCTCTCGTTGGATATCATTTAAAGTTCACAAATGGACTTTTTCGTTAGCCTTCACTGAACGATGTTAGTAGGTAATTTTCTGGACAGGCCAGACTGACAACCTCCTGTTCTAGAATACACAAACCGGTAATCCAGAACGAATGCAAAAGTGGTTCAGGGAAGAACCAAATCATGCATGTCTGAGAGAAGGTATTAGTTAAAATTGCTTGTACTGGCGCGTTTAAAAAAAATAAGCTCAAAAGGTTGCCCAGAAAAACACGACTTTCTATCACTTGTCTGTGTTGGGGAATTGAGCATAACACCAGAATTTACCTGGAATTAAGCTCCAAACCGTCGCTACACACCTTGCCTTTCGTGACTCGCCATATCATTAAGTATCATATAAAACGCCCCATTATTTTATATCGGCATTGCGTTCAGAGCCAGGTACTTCATAGTGGGGCACCCACCTGGTCTCCCCATTCATTGACGTGAGGACTGTTGATGTCGTCCACGAAGACGGACATCTTCTTGCCGGCCGGCGGGCCGTACGTGGAGCCCATCCGCTTGTCCAGGAAGCTCTCCATCGTCCGCTGCGGCGTCAGGCGCCGAGGGTGTAAGCCAGCACACGGCCTGACGCCGCGGGCAGCCGCTCTCGCACACGCCATAGTTTCCAGTTCGTGGGATGTGTCTAGCTAGCAACGGGGGCCGCGGGTTCGGACTTAGGGTTCCACTAGATTGGATCGTGTTTCAACGACGAGGAGTGAGCTTCACCTGTCCGTGAGTTGCCGAGCCGCAACGCTCCATTACGCTAAAGCCAGACGACAGCTTGGTGTTTTGGACTAACGGGTCAACGGAAATATGTATAGGTCTGACTATTCTTTTATATTATGCGCCCTGTTTGAAACCAGGGCAACATATTATTCCAAAGCACAATAATGATACATTTAGTAAAACAATCTGACGAGGAGACGAATGCTTAACTACCATGCCATAGTCGATTAGCTACCAAGACCAACGACACCAGGCCCATGCGCAGGAATATTCACAGAACACATAATTAAACAGCAACGGCTTCATGGCCTTACCAGCCGCACTACACGTTTTTGTTTCGCTTAACACTCATAGTTAGCGTTGTTTCAAGCAATTCGCCCTATAGACACGCAAACCTCTGATTTACCTCCGAAAACCTATGACCTGCCAGTTTAGGTAAATATGATAGTACTGTGCGGCAGCCAATGGAGTGCAGCGCCAAAAATTCGGTAGCCCGCAGCACTCATACATGCATGCTTCTGCATCCTCCCAGTTGGAACCAGCTCGGACCAGCGCGGCCCGCCATCTCACCTGGAAGTTGACGCCCAGCGTGGCTGACGAGAAGTTGATCCTGCGGTTGACGAACTCGTCTGGGTTGGAGCGCTTCATGAAGGCGTCCACCATCACTGTCTTGGCCGAGCCCGGCTCCCCCAGAAGCAGGCAGGGCTGCACACAGCCGGACCCGGGCTCAGATGCCGTTCAGATGTCCGCCCATGACGAACACAGGCTCAGCAGGCCGCCCAGATGCCGGCCGCTTGGTCTCCTCATGTTCTGAACGACCCCTGGCTAATGCGAGCCGGAAGCCCACGCCAAAGTCTCCACTTCTATCGTTAATGTTTAACTATCATGTCCTTTGTTAGCTATTTTGCTGCACAGTAGCATTTTATACCACTTCGGGCCGTTCATCTTTTCCGATAGCTCGGTTGTATAGAGCGCCTACCTTCCGATCCAACCAACTGTAGAGCCGTGGGTTCGAGTCGCTTAAGGCACTCGATATTTACCCTTGAAAGGCACGACCTGCGGCCGGTGGCAACGGCCACACCAAATGTCAGGTGACATCAGAGGGCAGGTCGGACTGTGCCGAGCACTACAGCACATTAAACTTTCGCCACCGAATTCTGCTGTTGACCTGGAATGTCGCGGTCGAATGACAGGGGTCGCGGCAGCGGGTCACGGACCTACCTTGCCCTGGCCGGCAGCCAGCGCCAGCAGGAACTCGGTGCGCACGTTGTCGACGTTGGGCACCAGGATGGAGGGGAAGTCGGGCGTCGAGTTGTCCGGGTAGTGATAGGCGGTGACACGGCTCCTCCACGGCTGCCACGTGCCTGCGTGTGCAGGCAGAGGGCGCCGGCTGGTACGTACGGACATGCACCTCGAATAGGCACGTGCGGTAAGAGGACGGGAGGTGGGCAGTTGCACTGTGTCGCACTGCTAATCAAAAGCTCGTCCACGCATCCGAGACAATTCTTGAGTATACATGGCAACACAAAGAAACGCGGGATGCATGGGACAATACGCCTTAAAACACGTCCGCATGCGTTTAAACGTATCAATACAACCCCACTTACCACAAAGATACGGGATACATTTGAAGTTGGACAGCGATTCACTAATTTACTGGTGGCGTATTTACCCTTGCTTTGTCGGCTTGGTCAGCTTCAGGGCGTACGCATTTTCCGTCTCTAAGTTGTCATATGCCCGGCCAAACCAGATGGTTCTCTTTTTCACCCATTTCAACGATTACACGCGTGGTAAAATATCAGCTTTCTACCAGACAGCTACGCGAGTAATGACACTGGGAATGGCATCGCCGATATGCTACAGTCAGCTCCCTGCCAGGCAGCTACGCGAGTAATGGACCGGCGAGTGACATCACTGATATGCTACAGCCAGCCCCCTACCAGGCAGCTACGCGAGTAATGGACCGGCGATTGGCATCACTGATATGCTACAGTCAGCTCCCTGCCAGGCAGCTACGCGAGTAATGGACCGACGAATGGCATCACCGATATGTTACAGCCAGCCCCCTACCAGGCAGCTACGCGAGCAATGGCACGGCGAATGGCATCACCGATATGTTATAGCCAGCGACGTCCTGGTATGGTTCTTGCAGCCGCTGCGACTGCGTGCCCGCTGTCAGGGCGCTCCGGCAGCATACATCACTACAGCACTAAAGAGAGCGATGCATTCAAACGGATTTGCCTACGACCCTTGACGCCCAATCCTTCGCTACACGATCTACACCCTGCATATCTGTATCCAGCATCGTATCTTGAACACGATCTTCTGCATATGCATTTTTTCGATGCTTTTTGTTCACACATTTTTTATTATCATGACCCCAGTTTTTGTTACCCATGATGCCCTTTGCTGGTGATATTTACGCCTTGTGATAGTGAAATTTATTATGTCTTCCATGTCATGTTTCGTGTACGGCATTTTGCCATTCAGTCCATTGCCACACACGCTCTTTTCCTACGAGCGCCTGCCGACACCATCCTTGCAGTCTTTTGCCATACGATATTTTGCCTTTCAACCGACACAATACGCCGCAGGGTATCACCGGGCTTCACCACGACAGCGGATGAAATCACAACTAGAATAGCACTCGGCGCGGCCTGTTTTCCCCAAAGCCGCTTACGCACCGGCTTCGTCTATGAAGTAATCGAAGATTGTCTCGCGCCGCTGCGGGTCGGGCAGCTCCCAGCTGGAGAACTGCGTCCGCATCTGGAGCTCCAGCTTGGCGCGGTCTTCATTCTCCAGGAAGGCGCCCACCGACCACATCAGGCAGAAGGTGTACACCCTGTACAATGGAGACGAAACGGATTGCCGAGGTAGTAGCACCGTCACATCCAACACCAGACAGAAACATATTCTGAGGAAGCTAGCTTTCGCAGGGCGGCACAGAATGAGATAGTGGCGCCGCGACACATCACCAGAACAGGTACCCTTGACACCTCATTTCCCCAGGCACCCCTGACACTTAACCTCAGTCGGCATCTCTCCAAATGTCACCATTTCGGACACCACCTAACGGCCTTACTGATTCTATTTTGTTAATCATTTTAATCCAGACCCCTCCTGACTACCCTCCCGCCTGCTCTTGCACTTGCCTCTCCAGGTGCCCACCTGCGGGTGCCACAGCTCCGCCTGCATCCTCCGACCTCACCTCTGCATGTAGCTCTTGAGCGCGTCGCCGGCGCCCTCGTCGGGCGGCGGCGCGTCGGCCGCGCTCGGGCCGCCCTCCGCCGGCGGACAGCCCTCCCAGTCGTCGGTGGCGCCCTGGCGGGCCGTGTCCGGGTCGCCGGCCGGCACGCGCCGCAGCGCCCCGCACGACTCCTCCACGTTCTCCGGCAGCATGGCGTTCAGCAGCGTCAGGATCTGCCGGCACGGCGGGGTCATCAGCGCGACGGGTCACGGAGTACAGTAACGAGGTCTTCACGGAGTACGGTGGTGGTCGTCACGGTGCGGTGACCTTGTCCTGGAAAAGAGCGGTGACGCCACACAATGACGCTGCTCAGGCCTGTGGTGCGTAGCTAAGCTATCCCTAGCGAACAATCACCTTGATTCCAACTTCATCCAAGCAGTAAGCATTTGCCGGTTTCTGCTGCACTCGTGTCTTCAACCGCACGCAGGAGGCGGAAAAGCCTCCATCGCGAAACAGAATCGTGCATTTCAGTGCGTCCGCTCACTTACCTGTGTGATGACGTTAACCTCCAACACAGGCATCTTGAAGCGCAGGTTCTGCGTGCTCCATGTAAAGAGGGCAGAAAAGCTGTTGTTGAAGTACTCGCGCAGTTCCAGCAGCCAGGCGGCCTTGGGGTCTGGCTTGGTGCGCACCCAAGAGGTGATCACCGGCTTCCAGTCCAAGCCCGAGGAGCTCATGTACACCTGACGAGCGACGGGGCCGGCGGGGTCAGCCAGGTCAGCCTGGGGCGCAGGTCGCCCGGTGACGGCACGGATCCCGCTCTGGCCAGCAGCCCGACGCCTCTGACACAAAGCCGCTTTCACAACAACGGAAGAGAGTGGCAGTACGCATCGCTTTTGAAGATCGAAGCGGCAGTTGTGTGGCTGACGTCCGCGCTGAAGACTACGAGATAGGATGGTATCAGCGTCGGTCCGTACTCGTACTCTAGACATCGGCAGAGCCAACTACGCATATGTTCAAGCATGTGTGGGCCATGCACGGCTGCGCACTGGGTCGACGCACTGGGTCGCGACTCGTGCCACTGTCCAAGACCGTGACGTGTGAAGCCGTGTGATGGAAAGCGAACAGCTGTCCATATTTCAGGCGTGGGAAACAGCGCCGCGCTACCACAACGCCGTTAACGGAGCTACTGCCATGACTGACCATGCCGTTCCTGGACACGGTGGCCGGCGAGGCGTTGTCGACGTCCTGCGGCTCGAAGATGACCTTGCAGGTGGGCGCCATGGGCAGCCGGTCGCCGTTGGCCAGCGTCAGCGTCCTGTTGTCGTCCAGCACTGAGTTGAGGTTCTCGATCCAGATCGGATCCACGGGTCCGTCCAGCACCAGCCACGTGTACTCACCTGGGACAAGCGAGACGAGTGCGGGGTCCTGTCACGGCCACGGCCAAATGTGACGGAAACAAGGGTTGTGACCAGGTCAATACATGACGACGGGCCCGTTAGCCAGGGGTGGTGGCAGAGTCATCCAAGTTGAGCATTAGGCGTGTGTGCGAACGTCAAAGAAGTAAACATCAGCAGTTACAAAAATGGAACTATGGTATAGACACCCAGGCCTTGCAAGATGCAGAGACACAAACATAATCGAGCCCGGGGACCGCTGCCTTTCACTGGAGACTTAGGGCACGTTCGGCGGAAGCGCGTCCGTCCAGGCCCCGAGGCCCCGGGGACCCATCGACTTGCCCTTCTTAGCCTTCATGGTGCGGCGCCAGAGGGCGCTGAAGATGCCGTCCGTCCAGTCGTTGGTGGCCACGTCCAGGCGACCGAACATCTGCGCCGCCGTGATCGACTTGGGGTTCATGCGCATCTCCCTGCCGGCGGCGCAGCGGCCTCAGCGGGGAGCGCGCCGGCGTTGCTCCGGCACTGGTACAGTCGCGCGTACAGGTCGCGCCATCCGACCCCCGCGGGCGCATCTCAGAATGCAATGGGTGGCCTCGGTTACAGCTGCAGCCATTCACGCTCCGTCAAGTGGTGGGCCAGTGCGTGTACTCGATAGTCAAAGAGCGAAGCGAGTGAAGCAAGCGACGGCTAACCCAGATGAAGAAAGTTCGGGTCTTACGAGGCAAATAGCACTGTACTCTGTACTCAGCTAATGGTCTGGGTAGGCCGCAGATCAGGCGTCTACATTCAGTTAATGCAGACAAATTCCGAGCCTGGATGGGAAAGGACAAGTCACCGGTCGCACGCTTCTTTGGCCTGTGCTGCGCTGCTGACTGCGAGGGCGGCTCACCTGTGCTGCGCCGCTGGCTGCACGGGCAGCTAACCTGTGCTGCGCCACTGGCTGCGAGGTCGGCTAACCTGTGCGCGGAGCCGGTGGCCGTGAACGCCCTCATCAGCACCTGGATGCAGCTGGTCTTGCCGGAGCCGCTCGGTCCCAGTGTCATGATGCCGTGTCGCACCAGCTGCGTCTCGTACAACTGGCGGCGGGAGAAGGCCCGTGAGATGAACATTTTTGGGATAATCACAGTCAGCTGTTTTTCATTTTTTGATCAGGAGTCATGGCGGATCCAGGATTTCGTCAAGGGGGAGGGGGAACGCAACAATGTGGCCCCACCAGAATTTTGGTTCCCTCCGTAGGGCTTTGCATTTCGGCCATCACATTTTAAACTTCTTAGTATGCTATTTTTTAAACGGGGAACAATCTTACTGCTGGCAGCCCTGGAAAAATAGGTGTGCTGCGTATGCACATACATGGGTCTTATTCATTTTCTACAGATCCTGGCAAATCCTGTCATTTTGAGGCCAAGTTTTTAGGAAAACATGACAAAATAAACTAAAGTTGGCTGATAAATGTCATTCAGTCAAGCACGAACTTGATTCCTTGTTTATTTACAGCTAGCCGGCTGGCCGATGTGATCACTCATGCAAAGTTCTTCCTTCCTTGTTATGAAGTAGTGCAAAATATTCCAGCATTTAAAATATACTAAAAACTTAATGCACGAGTATAACAGATGTCACAAAATAAAAAAGTAAGTGAAACACACGACGTAGGCAGCACGTAAAATTACGTGCGACAGCTACAAGTAAAACTTATTGGCGCGCATCCGACTGCTGCTCTAAGGACAAGGCCCCAAGGCCAGTAGGGACGGAACCTGAGTTATCATAGGTGCCGCAGGAGGCCAACAAAGAGGCTTCCGTCAACAAGTAAAGTGTCTTCAGAGCAAGTGAGAAGAATCCAAGACCAAGGTGGTGGGTCCCTGAACGAACGGGAGGACCCCGGCAAGCTGACAGATAGGGCCCTAGGCAGGGCGCTGGTCCCTCTGAGCAAAGGGAAATTACACAAGACCGGTGTGCGCGAATGAGTGCCCATGCAAAATCAAGAGTATCCGGGCAGATCGTGGAAAGGGCCCGATGGGAGTAAATGATCCTACATCAAGGGAAATCAAGAAAAATAGCCCTGGATCAATTTAGAGGGCTCCCAAACATTACGTGGCTCGGTGCCTTACCTTATAAGGGCCCCAGCAATAACACAAGGCCCTCCGGACATGTGGAAAGAACCCGAGAGTAATATGAGTGCTTAGGCATGTTAGAAGATAGTGTCCTTATAACAGCGCAGGACCCTACGAATAATGCATAGAGATCAAGGACAACGTAGAAGAGCCTTCCACGTTGCGAACCTTAGCCGAGCCGAGCTGAGCCTTAGCGATCGGACTGATCCAGCAAGTGGAGATATAGGGCTCTGGCAGCAGCGTGACGCCTCTGGACAGCGTAATGGGCTTCAAAATGTCCCCCAATCACCCCCTTCTCAATCAGCGAATAATTAACTTTGTCTGCTTACAGGCTCTTCACTTTCGCTTGAGTGTTCTTGGTCGTCTGGAGGCCCAAAGACGTCCAATTCTCTTGTGTTTTGTGTTAAAAACTGCGTCCTGTCCGGCAGTCGTGAGCCACCTCGGATCCTATGGAACCCCATGGGTCGCAAGAGGGCATTGGTTCTGTGCGCCCCCCCCCCCCCCCCCGGCTGGATCTGCCACTGGGCCGGGCAGTTTTTGATAGATGTGGATCCGACAAGAGCATAAGGCTCTCCATTCAAGTAAGAAGTACAACACGATGTGGAGGGCCCCAAACAACTGAGTGGGCCGGAGGCGGATTAACAGAATCAAAAACCTTCGGAGTCTATGGGTACCTTCGGGGCCCATAGGCTCCGAAGGGACCCATAGTGAGGATACAGGGTCATGCCACCCTTCGGCGCCCAGGACAGGGGTGGCATGACCCCCGGTCCGACTCTGGGTCCGCCCCTCATCATAGTAGAACAAGGTTGTAGAATAACTTAAATTGTAGCAGCCTGCAGAGCTTGAGACATCGCTGCATAATGCCGAAATTCTATAATGCCGACAATACCGCAAGGCTAGACCAATCAACAACGCACATGAATATCGCAAGAAAAGACACGCAGTATGCAGTAATTCACACAGGCAGCACCAGGTAAATACGGTACAAACGCAGAGCTCCAAGTGTTTCTGACTCAGTAAGCTGTGCTGGACTGAACAAATCATTGCAGCTTTCAAGTGCTTTGCTTTTTTCCTGTGAGACAATTTTTTGAAACTTGCTTCGGCGTTTCTGTAATTTAGAGCTCCCATTTAAAACGTTACAGTTACACTTTGAATCCAGAGGGTTGAGGCCAAACTTATCGTTGGGAGGGGCCAATTAACCTTAGGGTAGAGGCACAGTGGCCCTCCCAAAAGATTACAAATCGGCACCAGGGTTAACACATGTGTTTTAACTTAGCCGTCATTCCGATTTTCTGAACACGTCTGCGAAGGTCGTGTGAGGGTAATTACCTATGGGAAAGTAAACGGCGCTTGTCAGGCGTTGAAAAATCAAGGAGCAGTCAGCTTCCGGTCGGCAGTAGTTCCCGCGCTTCGATGGAAGATAACGTGGGCTAATTCGATATTTACTACGCATAGTTATCACAATTCCATTGCACGGTTTCGGGCCCGAGTGGATGCGGGGGTACGACCCAGGACTGCAAAACCCGGGTCAGGCGTAAAAGCGTGCGCCGCCCGGGAATCGAACCCGGGTCGCAAGAATGGGAATCTTGCATGATACCACTACACCAGCGGCGCCGTTACGCAATGAGCGAACAAAGTTCTAGCGGTTGCAGTCTGAGAGGAAGCATTATGTCGAGGAACTGTTCGGAAGGGTAAATGCTATTTAAGATGCTAGTCATCCCACATTTACACAGTTTTAGACGTAAGAAGTTATAAAACGCTCCTTCGGTCCATTGGTAGACCTTACATGGAGTACTGTTCTCAAGTCTCAAATCACCAGTCCGTTCAAGATTCTAGTGGTGTAGCAGAGACTAGCGAGGGGTCTAAAGATGAGCACTAAATTGGAAAAAGGGCTCCTAAATAGTGAAAATAGTGATAACCAAACCAGACTAAGATCCTATAACACACACGCGAGTGGGAGTCAATTTGCCCCCCCCCCCTTGAAGGTTTTCCTGAATCTCCGAAAGGCATTGCAAATTTTGCATTGCTGCATGTGTAAGGTATTGGAGAACACCTGTGTGCAAGCCAGTGAATGATTGCGTAGTTCAGCGAAAGCCGCTTACAGGCGCTCGCGTTCCCTTCCCCCAGGCGCCCCGCCCCGTGCGAGGGGCGCGGCCGCGGGGACCAGTAGAGGAGGTAGTAACAAGGAGAAAATTCTGAGGCCCGCCGGCGCGACGACGGACGTGCCGGCGGAACGTACTGTGACCAGTGCCTGTGAAGAGTGTCAAATACGGAAGTGGATTTGGACGTACCTTGTGTACCAGTGAGTCGGGGCGAGACATCGGAAAGGCAGAACTTACATGTGCAACTGAACAGCGGTTTTTTTTGCTTAAAATTGACGATGATGATCTTGCAAACATGTGTTACCAATATAACTTTTTCACATACGACCGTTTCAAGGGCACCATCTTATTTCAGGTCAAGCGCTCCAATAACCATAATAAAATCCATGCTTGATTCTGCGTCAGCCTCCCACTCCAAGCTAAGACATGCTGGACTGAATACGACTTGAAGGATACTCGTCGGAAGAGCACAAAGCATGACTTCATCGACTTCGACTCTAGCCCCCTCTGAGCACACTGCAGCTCGTCAACTCCGTGACAGTGGCGTGCAGGGCGTCGGCTCCAGTTACCACCCCCCCCCTCCCCGCGGCATAATGCTGGCTGGATGAGAGCCCCTGCTCAGAGGTGCAGTTTCGAAAAATCAGTGCCGGACTCAGCAGTGAAAACATCTCAAATATATCCCAACAATACGCTGCAAACAGGTGTCTCCGGGTGTGGCGCACTATCCTCGCAAAG